TCGAGGATGGTCCAGTCAAACGTGTTACTTCTCCATTGTTAAGAATTGTCATATTGAAGTTATTTTTTTTTTTTTTTTTTTTTTTTTTTTAATAATTCGTTTATTTTTCCAGGCTTATTTGCTGTAGCTTTGCGGAGCCGATATTCATTGTTTAGATAACAAAATTACTTAAAACTAACGTTAGTAAAGCGGGGGCCGATTACTCGCGGCTATCTCGAGGTTAGGGGTAACAAATTGTAACAAATGGATGGCAGGGTAGGGATTGTGAAATATTGAAGTTATCACAGAGGTCATATATAAAAGTAGAACGGTTGTCATCATACAGTTCCCCCCAGCCTGTACCGTGGGAATTAAAATCTCCCATAATCAACCGTGGAGCAGGAAGTACTGAACATATATCTGAAAGTTGTTTTCGATTAACAACGGCTCTAGGAGGAATATAAACAGAAGCAATACAAAGGCTCTTACCTTTAATAATAGCCTGACATGCGACAACTTCAATACCTGTAAATTGTGGAAGATTCACTCTATAGAAAGAATGGCACTTTTTGATCCCCAAAAGTACCCCTCCTCCACGCGAATCCTCACGATCCAGTCGAATAATGTTAAAATCATAAAAAGGAAGATCTATATCTGAAGAGAGCCAAGTTTCACAAAGAGCAAATGCATCACAATCATTATTGTGAACTAAAAACTTAAAAGAGTCTAATTTAGGAATAAGACTTCGACAATTCCACTGTAGAATAGTGATCAAATCCCCGACCTCGTTTGGAAAATTATCCATCGAAGGAAATGATTGCTGCAATGAGGGGCCACTTCAATGTCAATTGCTTCAAGAGGGTCTTCACAGTAGGAAGCATTGCCAGAACAATGCTTTTGAGAGGATCAGAAATATTCAGGTACTTGAGAATATCGTCCACAATTTTATCAAATGAGAACAACCCAGATGAAGAAGGGGCTTCTGTTCTTAAAAATGGGACATCAGGGGTTTTGGATGTCCCCGGGAGAGGTGGAAAATCCTGGGTATAGTCAGTTCTTCTGAATCCAGGAGGAGTAGAAACTTCCTTTTTTCCACCACTCCTTGATTTGGGCAAGCTGATTTGGGGTTCTTCATTCTCAACTTTCCGCGAACGGATGCGTTTTCGTTTCCGTGCTGAAAAACAGAAAGAAGTTCCCTCCTCAGCCAAGTCAGAGTCAGTCTCGTCATCTGACAAAAGAGAAAAGGGATTTTTGTCGTTGGTCGATGGCGTGGCCGTCTTAAGCATTTCTGCAAAAGACTGCCGGGAACGTTCCTTAAGTGAGCGTTGTAATTTCTAACTTCTCCAAGATCTCGGGGGTCAGACTCGCTTCGGTGACCACACCTTCGATCTCCACATCACGAGCTGGGATGTAAACTCTGTACTCGAGCGTGAAGAGCTGGGAGGCAGCAATCTCGTTAGCCTGCTTCAGGTTAGAGACGGAGACACGAAGTTTATTGTGCCTAACCTTCGTGATTTCAGTCACGGCCGAGTATCGCTTCGTCAGATCATTAGTAATTTGCATTACATTCAAAGGTTTGTTTCTGGGCTGAAAGTAGACAACCCATGGGCCAGTCGAGTCATCTGGATAGGCTCGCGATCGGGGGTTTATCTGAGCCTGTCCTTTGCCAGACTGAGACGATGAACCAGAAAGAGATGACGTACGTTTTCGACCCTTCTTGCCATCGCGTGGCAAAGTGGTGTCATCTTCCGACAAAACGTCCATTTCGTCTTGCGACAAAATGTCCATTTTGCCGTACTAGTGGGAGCGAAAAATGCTCTACCACTGAAACGATAATCACTCGGACACAATACACAAAAAAAAACTACAAACACAGAACACAAACTTAAAATTTAACTGTGGGCGAAAGAGAGAAACAAGAACAAAAACTTATCTGATAATCCTATACTACTACCACCGAGCGTTTAAACGGCAGCAGCGGAGCGACGCGCAGCGTGGATGATCTTCGATCAGCGTGTGCGGGCGGTCTTCGTTGGTGTGTGCTTATGTGAGGGTCGGCACTCAGCTGAACACACGATGATAGATGAGCGGTGTAAATGCGGAGGCAGATGCTGACACTCGATGACGATGATCCGTGTGCAGGTATGCGTTACCACGCACCGATGGTGCACAAAATGGTTGGCGAATTGGCAATCGTAAAAACAATTTTCCTTCCGATGATGCCGAAAACACACTTTCTTCTCAGAAAAAAACTCACTTTTAGTTAATTATTTAGCTGGGAACTCTAAGCGAGAAAAAACTGACAATTTAAATCAAGCGAATAGCGAGAAAACTTCCAAAATAGCGGAGCGCGAACTAAGTCGACCGTACTTCTTGCTAGGACGCAGTGGAATGTTTGCTGTTGTTTTGATGCTGATCAATTTTCCTCTGAATATATTCACATCGAGTTTTCTTAATCGATTGTGAATATTTATTACGCACGACCGTGTACCTATTCCAATGATTATCACTATTAGATCTACAAAACTTTTTGTACCATTTGTCCCTCTTACGTTTAAGACGCAAAAGATCCAAATTGTACCAGCTGTTCGAGTTTTTCAAAGAAACAAACTTTTGTTCAACTAATTTATTGGTACAAGTTTTCAAAACGTTAGTAAGAACAGCTGCATCTTCATCTAAAGTTCCGGTAACTAATGGAAAATCCACGCTTCTCTCAACAAGATTCGAAACAGCTTGCTTCGAATATTTCCTCCAGCACTTCAATTTTACAAAATTATCGTTATCGTTAACACTGTCTAAGAAATTAATTACTAAAGTTTCATGATCGGTTATTTTCAAATCAGCTTGAGTAACTGAACTGACAGAATCAAAATTAGAATAAACATGGTCAATCAAAGTTCTACTGTGCCGGGAAATACGCGTGCATTCACTTACTAATTGTTTTAAATTAAAGAAATCAGCTAATTGCTTCAGATGGATCGAATTGCTAGTATCATGCCAATTAATGTTAAAATCACCCGCAAGTATATTTAATTTACTAGAATCTAAAAATGTCTCGAACCAGTTCTCTAAAATTTCAATAAAACGCTGATTACTTGAACTGGGAGAATGATACAAAACACCATAATTACCCATCTTCATGCCACGTTCAACTGTAATGCCTAAGAACCAATTGCCATCAATAACTTCGTTTTGGCGAATATTGAATTGAACTGATTCTTTGACATAAATAGCAACACCGCCAGTGTGCCTCGAATGTGACAAACAAGCAGCAGCTTTATATCCCGGAATGCTATACTGATCAAAAGATTCAATTTCTACAATATGTGTTTCTGCTAACAAAACCAAAAGTGGACGATTTTCTTCTACAATCTGACGTAATGTTACGTAGTTTGTAGATAACCCCGCAATATTCAAATATAAAATCTCTAATTTACTCACATTACTACTGGAACTTGGTTGCTATTTATTGAAATGTAAGCTGCCACTACAGGTTAACGGCAGATCGCTTGCCATTACCCCCGACTCGCATTTTGGACATTCCATTTCTACCTAAACACAGTCAACAGACGCTGCATGCAACAATACACAGGGTACAGAAGAGACAATTAAATATCGATTTCACCGCCGCAGCTACTATAGGAAAGCAATTGCTTCCTTTCCTTTCAGTGCGCCGGGGGGATCGAAGAATAAGCAAAATTTTACGAGAACGGCTACTTTTGTAACCTGTTCTCCTACTTATCCTGTTATCAAATACAATTGGGCACGCGTTGTAATTAATCAATCGCGGCACACAACACAATTTCACACGTAATTAAAAATAATTTTTTCACTGCACAACAAATTGAACTACACTGTTTGCCATCACACAGAGCATCAGAAGCCTGAATCTGGAGCCTGAAGTTCCTTGTGTGCTTTCAATAGCTTTTAAAGTAGTCAGAAAATTTAGATGAAACATTATATGCACTTTATGGATCTTGAAAATGGATTTTATCGTTGAATGCGGAACTTTTGGTTGCTTGGGAAGAAAGTTCTGTCGGAACTTTATGGAACTTGAAAGTTCTGTCGGAACTTTAATTGAACTTTATGGAACTTGAAGGTTCTGTCGGAACTTGGAAGTGAGTTTTATCGTTGAATGCGAAACTTTTGGTTACTTGGGTAAAGTGGGCCATTTCTAAGACGTTCGAAGTCTTCGCTCAAAACTTTACAGGCTTTTATTTGATTGAAAGTTATTTTCAGAATTCTTCTAAAATAAATTTGAAATTCTCTCTGGAAGTCCCTTGAAAATATTTTTATAACAGTCCACAAATTCTATGTAGAACACTCAAAAAAAAATCTTAAAATTCGTCCTTAGATTCTCTTCGAATTTTAAACTCATTCTAGGAATTCACTGGCGCTTCATTTTTTTTTAATTTGCTTGAACTTCTCCGTAGATTCTTGACCAACAATTGAAAAGGGCCCATCAGCTTTTATGAGCCAAAATTGTAATCTTTCTTTCCTGCCAACACCATCGGGTAGGGAAAAATTCTTCCGCCGAGAATGTCTTCAAATTTTGCTCAGAATTATGTTAGAGTTCTCCTCTAAATTCTTCTGGAAATTACATGGAATTCTCATTAAAATTATCTAGAAATTCCATTCGAAATGCGCTTGGAATTATCATCGGAATTTTCTTATAGATCTTCGCAGAATTATTTTGAATTTATACCCTTAAAATTGACTTCCCTTGGTATGTTTCACGAATCCTGGAATCCTCTTCACTCTTGGAAGTTCTAATAACAACTCTCTCAATTACCTTTCTAATTCCCTGTTTTCCAGGTTTTCCCGCTTCGCTGGCCACCCTGCTATTATTAATATAATAAGCACTTGAACAGTACGGCATGACAGATGGCATTTTATTGCGTCAGAAAGATCATGTACGGCAAAGTTGAATTTCCACAGAAAATTGCCGCAGAACTAGCCGTGCCGTTCAGGTGCTGAAAGACGTCTACGCAACAAACATGTAAGCAATAAATGCAACTCACCTGCGCGGCATCCACAATGATGACCTTCCTGTTCAGTCCGATCGTCGGTGGAGCATTGATCCACTGCGACTGCGAAGGTTGCTGCTGTTCATCGGCTTCGTTCCCCCGAATACCACCGGCTTTCGCCATTGCCACCCCGCCGCCGTCCACCCGCTCGGCACTCGTTGCTTCGGTCATGGAAAAAATTGTATACGAGTTCTCACAAGGTGGAGATAGCGTTAGCATTACGGAACTACTGGCGGTGGCGTTTGTGGCACTTGTGTTTGGCATGTTCAGATTCATCGAAGAGGAATTGTTGCTTTTAGCATTTCCCGACGTAGATTCTACGCTCTCCTGTTGCTTCAGACTAGAATTATTGCTACTTCCTGCGATCCCCGCTGCACCCAATCCACTTCCACTGGCCAAGGCTTCCTTGAAGGACTCCCTCTTGGAAGCCGCCAATGCACGATCTATCCGATCCTTACTGTTACTACTTAAATTACGCTTCGTCACTCCGGCCCTATCCCGCAGTGTATCACGCTCGGAGTCGCGCTCCCGAATCAACAGGCCAGCCAACAGAGTCGAACTGGTTGGTTTGTTGATGCTGGCAAGACTTCCTCGGTTCGCCGCACCGGAAAGTGACATATTTTGGCTCCCGTACGACAGCGTTCCAGCCGTACCCGAAAGAGTATTGTTCGGTGTTGGAGTATTACAGTAAACCCCCTGGATTTCACCCATTTCGTTGTCTATTATTGCACTTCCACTGCTACATCCCTCGCGGCAGCGCTGTCTCACTCGATTGAAGAAGCTGTTGATCATAACCACAATCTTTTCCAACGTTATCTCACCGCCGATGATCCTACAGAGTTGGGGATTTGTTTCCGCGTAGGACGTCGTCAGCGGAGACACATAGATGGGATATCCAATCGGTTGATCACAGGACGAGTTGATAATGTTGCGAAGAGCTTGCTTCGCATTTTGGATGCTCCCTCGCTCCGGGTTTCGATTCCGGAGATATATCAGCTCCTGCTGCTGACCCGCCCACAAACCTCGTACGCATTCGCGATTTAGCTTAATGACACGAAAGCTTAAAAAGCGTTTACTCAGTCTTATAACTCGATACTCGTCTGATCCATCGTCCATGACGTGGCGCAGAGCAAGCAGATTCGGCGTTCCCCTAAGCACGGCGTTACGCCACAATGGATCGGCCTCGTGCGAAATAACCAGCTCTTTGGTATGATAATCGATCGCATTGAACAGTGCTCCGTAGTCATCGTACTCGTCCGGACAGAGAAAATGGTCCTGATGAAGCTTCAATGACATTCGAACTGCTGGCGCCACAACACCATGCAGCAACTCCATATCGGCAAAAACCCACTCATCGCGCGTTGATGTTATACGAAAATCACCCTTGAACAGTGCATGGAGACCGTGAAGAAAAAATTCCACCCCGCAAGATGAGCTGTGGCTTGCAGTGGCCAAGGTCCTTCGTGCCAGCAAAGCTAGCGCCATGCAAAGCGACGTAACCAGGGATTCACGATTCTGGAAAACAAAATACAATTAGCATATCAACACTCAAACTGACCTAATAATAACGTACCGAGCTGAAAAACGGTTGACCGGAAGTTCCGGCAATGGAACTTCCATTGTTACCCGAGCTTGACGTTGCGGCTCCGTTCGTGCTCGATTCACCTCCCTCGGCAGGATTCTGCTTGGCACCATTATTAGTCTGCTGTTCACTCTGATCTTTTGGTGTTCCTTCACTGATCCCCTTAGCACCAGTATCGTTTGCCGATGAGCCTGCTGCCGTGGTGTTGACCACCGGGACTGCACTCTTCTTCGGAGTATTCTTTTCATTCAAAGCCGCCTGCATCTGTTGGCGTTTCTTGTCGCAGCAAAACTGTATCCACTCGCCGTAAACGTTCCAGAAGCTAGCACGGGTTATTCCCGCAGCGCGGAAATCGTAATCGTCGTCCAGATTGTGATTAAACACCGGATCCAGATCGACAAACTGACGATCCAACGTGTGCTCCAGAGCTTCCTCGATTGCTTGCGATTGCAACCAGTTGACCAGTTTTGGCGACCGAATGGCATAGTAGATGATGCTCTGAAAATAACGGTAGCAGATTAAAACGGTGCAAGCGGACAAGAATTTAGAGCAATACCTTGACGTAGTACGAAATAAGAACCTTTCGGAACTCGAAAACCTGCAGCGTGGCGGTTGCAGAATTATCCGAAATCGAGTACCCCTCCAGGACGTACTTGGAGGCCATCACTTGCCACGCCAGCCAACGGGTGGTGAACATTGCGTTTGCGCTCAGCATTCGTGGCAGGTGACCGACCGTACAACAGCAACAGCCTGCAACGGAAAAGGGACACTGCATTCTTCGAGTTCCATAGACGCCCGCCCAAAGCCCACAAAATCAGTTACGATGTGTAATTTACTATGAGAAGTAGGGGAAATGGCTCTAATGTTGGCGTTTGGATCTAAGATTGTGCCCATCACTAAAAATCTGCTATTTATCAATTGTATCTAGATGGACGTGTTATTGGGATGGTCCCAAATTAGGAGCATTTAGGCCATTTCCCCTACGTCCCCAGAATAAAAACTCTTAAACGAGCGACTCCGGACTGGTCAAAATTTTATTGGACACCAGAATGACAGCAACCTGGAGTGCAGCGAGTTGGGAATTTCCTTTTTTGCGTTCATGTATACGCTCCGTACACCTGTGTTCATGTCGAGGGTCAAGTCTGCAGAGAACTTCTCTCGAATGACACGCTTCATAGAACCGTATTTCCCCAGCACCAACACTATATCGCAATCCGGGACCTCTGGTGGCAAGTCAGAAACTCTCTAGTATCGTTTGCCCCGCAAGCGACATGCGTACCTCAACTGCCTTTCCATCAGCATAATGGAAAAGATAATGACTCACGATTATGCAGCACATGAAGCATCGATTACTCTGATTTGAACTCTATGAACAGTGATTTCTCCTCTGCAATCCGGTATGTAACAATCATCTGAACGGGTTCCGCAATCAGCGCGCTTTCATGAATTTGGCAATTTTACCTATGGTGTGTTTCGCACTTCCATTTGTGAAGCTAAATTTGAACGTCAGCTTTATCTCAACGGACTGTTGTTTGCATCCAACGGCAACGAATGAGCTGCCGACAATGAACAAGCACCACAACAAAAAGGCTTTTATGGCGATGAGTGTGCTATAACGCTGCTGTAAAATGCCTTCAGCTTCTTCACCGTTTCACTGAACGAGAAATCCCTTGGAGCATCAAGTAGAATGTTGGATACGTACCTCACCACGCATCCTTTGCAACTAAATTTTCATACCTGGCGTACCACACGTGACGTGATGTGATTTTCTGGGTGGTACTGAACCTTACGAGTATTTCCAGCTAATAAATCCACTCCAGAAGAATTGGCAGGATCGATGACTTGAGTAGTCGAAATCGTCGGGACAGAATTTCTTGCTGCTGCGAAAATCTGTGCTACTACTACTTGGCTGATTATCGATGCTGCTGGAACAGTTGATTGGTTACGGCTTGCTACTGCTGGAACTGTTGCAACATTTACACAATAATAGCATCCGTTCGAGCCTGCTGTGTGGTACTCCACTGTTGCACTCCGGGAGGACTGTAATCCATTCTGCTGAATGTTTCAGCAGGTGAATTGATTCATGATCCGCTGTAGGAGCTATATCTCTTTTTCCCAGGCGGTGAAGATTGTTCAAATCGCGTTTACGTTGGCAAGTGAGTCTCGCCTTCCCAATGGGAAATGGACACAATAGTAATGAGTGTTGCAATGCAGAATTACTCTTAATTGCAAAACTCACATGGAAAAATTTGTGATTACATTGATCTAGTACGGTAATTGTCAATCAAGAACATCTGCTGCCGCCTCGACAACAATTTAGAGCGAACTGATCTGGGAGAACTTGTATCTTGTAGCAGTCTTCTCTGAAAGTTTTCTGAACTTCTCCCGCAACTGTTCCTAGTTTCCATTGAAAATCAACTTGCGAACATTCTCAAAGTATCTACAAAGCATAGACCTACTCACCAATATTCTCCTCCACCTCTTCCGATATGGCTTCCACTTCCCGCTGCTGACAGTAGGTCCCCCGAAACTCGAGGCCACGCATCTGAAAGGTACACAACCCATTGCCTAGTTCGATTATGTGGACTAAACAGTTAAGATAATCCGACGCAAGAACTGAAAGAGTGGAAAGCAGAACTTCAATCGTGTGGGTGAGACAAAGAAAGAAACAACAACGGGACCAACCGAAACAATCGCCCTGGCTGACGTTTCCCCATCGCCCCATCAGCAAATCCCCGCACAACGAATGCTGCAGCGATCGAGTTAGGTGTTCGTAGAAGATGCTATTCAGGTTATTGTCATCTGCCCCCAGATCCCGCTCCAGCTGTGAACTTAGCCTAGTGTTGGAATGGTCAATCCGGCGAGTGTTGTAGTCCCGTTCCCAAAACTTGATCGGCCGTACGTACGACGTAAGGAATATGGCACTTCCTGCGGGGGGTTTGAAAATGAGTAATTATAGTAATGCGAGATTATTAGGACTTGGAAAAACGTACCCAGGAAAGGATTGAGAGGAGTCGACAGCAGTGCACTGATGGCAGTTTGTAGAAAAAGCATAGCCGAGTGTGGCACACTGAACGGTTGCGCAAATGCATGGAATGCTGAACCCCAGGTTATTTGCCAGGGTGCGATGTAGGTCACCACGAATTGTAGCTGCAATGCAAGAGATTATTCAGTCCAGAAAATCTGGTTACATTGACCGAGCAATAACTTACCTTAAGTAGAAATTCACTAATCTTACGATACAGTATGGACACGAAGAAGTAGTCGATGAGGAACGTTTCACTAGAAAGCCTGTAGTCTATCCGGAAAAAGAGTACGGTGAAGATCAGGATGATGTACTGACTGCCGATGTCGGAGTACGCATTTCGAACACCTGGCCCAGGAATGAATTAAAATTAGATTCATCGTTTTTCTGATTATCACTCACTGCACTTCATTTAAGCGCATTTACTCACACTTCAATCCACTGACAACAACCAATACCGTTCCCATCGTAAGGCCAAACTTGTCCGCAATGGCACCGGAATCGGCCGTCAGTGCGCTCAAGAATATCAACGGATACAGGATGTTTCGTTCGAAGAAGCACAAGCCTACGTACATAGTTTCGAACCACATAATTTTCGACAAGTTCTGCACCTCAAACTGGCCAAACTCTCTCGCTTTCAGAATGGGCTTCGCAATGCACAACCAAGGGAGATGTTTCCTCAGTTGTGGAATCATATAGTGGATCATGAAGCCGAGAATGCAAGCACCGGTATGGAGAACGTAATTTATGTCGGGTTGCAGAACTGTGAACACCGTACTACAGTGGAGACTGAAGATGATGGTCGACAGGGCTACACACACAACGGCGTCGTTCTTCAGCCTAGCCGTAACCGTAGCCTGTAGCTTCTTCGGAAGTGGATCGTCCAGCTCCTTCGTCGATTCCCGGTTGGCTTCTTCGTCCAGATCTTTGTGAATCTCGTCACTGGAACGTTGATGATCGCTCTCCATTTTGTTATCCTCCGAATCGGTGGACATTTTCGAATCCTCCTTACTGCTATCGTCGTAGTCTGGATGGACGATCAGGCTGGACTTGATGACGGCCCAGATGTAGGTGAAATCGCTGGAGCATCGCGAGAGGTGATACGATACCGTGATGAGAAATGCGCAAAACATAGAAAATAGGACGTGCTGGGTTCCCGTTTCTGATAGACCACCGAAGGCGGGACCGAAAAGTAGAGTGCAGGCGAGCATGGAACGAATGATCGAGAGAAACGATGACAGCAGACTACACGCGGCATTGCTTCCGAATATATGCATGTCGAGCTGTTCCAGAAAATACATAGCGAAGGTGTTGATTTGGGGAAAAAGGCCCAAACTGAACAGAAACGGAAACAGTAAGATCACAACGGAGAGTATACTTTGGATGCACTGCAGGGAATCGATGATGGATATGTGGAACCCGAAGAGAGTGACTCTATCCATGACGGAGTCTGGATTCAATTGGTACTCTCGTAACATGTGATGAGCTCCCAGCAGCAGCGAAGAACACAGGCAAAAATAAATAGGCCTCGAGTAGGTGACAGTCTTGTTGAAGCCGTGGATCGGCGATGCAGCGTCGGGTTGAACACTTTTCAGCAGTGAATACTGACTTCCGGCGATAACAAAACAGAATATGAATGCATACAGATCTTCGTAGAACTTCAGATACAACACCGTCGCACCGAGCAGGGAAACTAACGTGCACAGTGCAATCGCCAACGTCACTTGAAACCAATTGGTATCGCGGTCGAACAGTGCCAACAGCTGCAACCGGTTCATTGAGATACTGAGTTCTTTAAAGCATAAAAAATGAACAGGGAATTTGTAGTATCGCTTGGGTCGTATCTGGGGTTCGCCGAAAATGGACCTTGGCACCACATCGATTGCGCTTTGTGCACTGGACAAACTGTACTCGGTCGGAGCCATAGCCTTGTCGATTCCGGACGAATTGATCGACGTATTGTTATTGTCCCCGGACGAACCAACTCCTCCTGCACCGCCTCGGCTCATTGCTATTCGTTCCTTGATCACATTCTCTATCGTTGCTCGCTCAATCAGTTGAACCCATCGTTCCGGTTCGTCTACGAATAAACTTAAAGGCACCTCTGTCTGATCATGAAACGTGGAACTCGAACCACCCACGCTCCGACTGGACGTTGTTGGATTATCGATCGAGTCTATACAATAGTTACAATTGTTGTTGTCGTCATCACGAAAGGATCCGGCGATGTTGCTCGTTCCACTGGGACCGGCTCCACTATTCGGTTCCATTGACACGACGGGATGTTTGCTTCGAGACATTCTCAACCGGCACTGAATCTGTCGATAGCTTCTATCCGAACCGTCGAATCGCCTCCGAAACGACGTAAAGCTAGACGTTTGCTGCTCTGACAGGGAACTATTGCCAGGAAGATAAATCGGTGGAATGGGAACCTCCGAGCGGTAGTTGAGAAACGTTATCAACGGGGCAGCCGTAGCATTCTCCGGAATCCGCTCGGCCGACAAGCGCTGTGAGAGGGTTCGATTGTAAATCTTACTACTGGTACTGGGATAGTTCTCTTCGGCACTCAACCGCCGGCTGGTAATACGACTGGATGAAGTTTTCGGAATCGCTCCCAAATTACGAGTCACAGCCACCGTCCCTTCCGAGGAAATGGATCCACTTTTCTCCCTCTCCAGCTCCTTATTACCAGCTTCCTTCTTCTGCTGCTCGCTGTCGTGAATCAAACAATCTTCGTCAGGACCAGTGTACTTGAACCAATTCTCCTGACTCTTGATCTGACTTCCACTGGCCGCAACCGCTTCGCTGGTATTCCCCGAACTAGATCTCGGAATTTCAGTCTTTCCCAACTTTTCAGCCCGCTCTTTTGTAATCAGTAAATCCTTCGAACTGGCACTCGCTTGTTCCCAATCACTGGACGATGGTCCACCATTCTCTTCGAATCCCTGCTTCACCGGAGAATCCTCAATTGTAAGCGTCGAAGACTTCTTCATCTTATCACTTGACTTCGTCAGCTTCAGCCCACCTTCCACCGCACTGGGCACCGAAGGAATCACGCACGACAAATTCTTAGCCTCCACGATCACCAACGGTGCGCGGTTTCTCGGTTCCAACAGCGGAGACCTTGATCCCGCATTGTTCTCTGTATCGGAATCCGTTGACTGCAGCAGCGCTGGCTGATCTGGATCCGAATCCGTGTCCTGTTCTGCTTCTGCTGACACAGACACCGACCCTGAAGGCACCGCAGCCGGTCCAGTCGTTTGAGACGACGCTTGCGAATGGGAAGGAGGATTCGATTGTTGGGAGTGCTGCCTGCTCATGCCACCAGTATGATGATGGTGATGATGGCGATGAATGTGCGTATGAATCGCATGGATACTCTCGTCTTCACTTACACCACCCCGAAGCCGATCGATGGCCGCCTCATCATCCTCGTCATCCTCGTCTTCGTCTTCATCATCGTCGTCGTCGTCATCTTCATCCCCTTCTTCATCCTCATCGTCGTCTTCGTTGTCATCGTCTTCATCCCCTTGTGCATTGTCTGAATCGCTATTCGGTTCGAATTTTTCTACTTTATCCGATGGATTCTTTACCGGAGTGCTTTCGTCCGCCTGTTCCGCGATCGGATACACCGGTTCGTTGTTAGATGAATTCCCATTCAAGGAAATACCCAATCCCACTAGGCCGGTCGTGCTGTCTCCGTTGGACTTTGGAAACAGATTCAGATGAGGATTCCTCGATAGGCTCTTGCTAGGCGGTGGAAGCACCGTGTGCTGAGGATTACGAAGTGTTTGGCCTCCGATGACCTCTACGCTGTTCGGATGCGTCGGCGCTAAGTTCGAAATGGAAGAGGGGCTGCAGGTTTCTAGGGCCGCACTTTTTATCCTACGAACCGAAGTCAGTGACCTTGGCAGCGGGCGCACTCCGGCTACAGCGTTAGAATTGGCATTGGAATGACGTCGATTTTTGCCGGAAGAACTCCCTACCATCGTCGGAAGCTGCAAGGCCGACATTGTACTATTAGAATCCCTCCTGATAGGCGTCGACTGCTGCAGCAGGTATATTTTACTCGTTGTTTCTCCAGGGATATTTTCTACAGCTAACTGAACGGCAGATTTCGTATAACTATGATCCATGTAAAGATCCGGATCGAGATTCTGTAACGCCAACATGTGATGGTGGTGATGATGATGATGAAACAGCGATGTGTTCGATTTATTGTTCTGGTCCTCCGAACTCAGGTGCCTCTGAAGGTGCGCGCCTCCTCCGGCAGCCACTTCGTCAGCGAACACAATTCCCATACCTATCTTTTCGGAATCCAATGAGATCTGCCGCTGTAACTGACTATTCATAAAGCGCTGTTTCCGCTTCGACTTGTACTGATGTCTTCGTAGCGTTGCGCTCTTCTTTCCTCCTTCCTTCGATGGGTCTACGCCAACTGCTCCTTGCTCACCATCCACCATATCTTTTCCCCTTCCGTTCCCCTGATTGTCCGTCCCCAGATCCAACGATTTGCCCTGGTTCGGTGTACTGAGCGAACGTTTATGGGTGCCCCCGCCACCACTGCTGCAAACTTCCGCCGAGTGAGTCTGCATCGTAGAAGAGTGCACTATCGACTTTGCACCTCCTTCCGCACCTTCCGCACCATTACAATCACTCGACTCGGAACTATTCTTCCGATGCACGTCCACCTTCAGGTCGATTGTACTGGTAACCTGTTCCTGGTAGTCGATCGAGATGGCACTGTTGGCACAGCTGATCTCATCACTGTGCCGCTCGACCGACGTCCTCGAGGACATATCTACCGGTGGAGTTTCCACGACCTCCACCGCGCCCATCTCCTGCATCTCGATGCCAGTCTCGTCCTCCCTGGAAAATCAATTCATCAATACATTTGATTAGTAGGTATAAATAGTACTTCACATTGTTGCTTAGCAAACATACCCGGATGCTTCCCGTGGCGTCTTGACCGGCTTCTTTAGGTTGGTATCGGACATGGTCCGTGCCTTGTCGTACATCCGATGCAGTGCCACATTGATGAACTTGAACACACTGATGATGATGGCAATCAGTACGCAGTATACGCTCCATACTAGTACGGTTTTCGGAAAGTACTGCAACGGTAATGGAGAGGGTGAAAATGGTTGATAGATTATCGGGGTGTCAGAATTTATTTAGCCAAAGTAAGACGCTCTCGCAGTAGATTTAGACTATATCTGAGATCACGTAATATTGGCTGTCTTGCAATGAGCACTCATACGAAACGTTTTCACTGCAAATCATGTGTATGACTTTTGATACCATAGCCTATATTAAGGGAGAGAGGGGTATCGATGGGGCATAGTGAACAGATGCTTTAGCCTTGGATTTCATAAGGTTCGAAACAAATTAATTGGTCATTAATCATTGCAATGGTGATAATAAACCTATTAACAATTAATTTGTTTCGAACAATAAGAGGTTTACCCCTACGTTCTTTATTAAAATCTGATCAAGTTCACGAAGAGAAAACAAGTAAATATAATCAAATTTCAGTTTAACTCAACCAATCTTCCAGTTCACTATAGCGACAAACATGTTTCAAGTTTGAATTAAATGAACTTTTTGTTTCAATAGTTCTTGGCAAAATCAAAAGGATAATGCAGGTTTCTTCTTCTTCTTCTTCATTCCTTTATTTTACGTCGGTCTCTGTTCCGCAATCTAGTGCCGACAGATATCGATTGCCATCCATTGACGGGAATTGAATGTGCAGGAGGGCAGCTTCCACACACCTGCGTAGGATATCGCACCCATTCGACACACATGGGCCGGGACCAACAGCTTTACGTCCCTTGCGAAGGAAGACGTGACGAGAGATTTTTATGCCTCAGAAAAATCCCACCGACCTCGGCTGGGATTGAACCCAGACCCATTGGGGTGAGAGAGCAGTCACGCTTGCCACTACACCACCGGCGCCGGTACCGCAATGCTTTCGTGGCGGTGAATTCAGTACACTCCAGGACTTCCAATGTTCTCGGTCCTCTTATTTTTACCATCTATGTGAATGACTTATTAGAGCTGTTCTCATCGTCCGAACTGTCTTATGCTGTTTTTGCTTAGGATACTTGATTAGGTGAGTGATTTAACAGGTTATAATATTCGTTTTATTAATATTAAATGACCGAATTAAGAAACATATGAAACAAAACGATTGGATGGTAAAGGGTGTCCACGATGAAATTGCCACACACAAAATTGATTCGCAAAATTCGAGTTTTCATCCGATTGCCATCAAATTTTCAGGGATTGAGAAATAACTATTAAACTTCATTTTACCATTTTACTCGTATTTTATTTACAGTCCATACGCAAATGCCCGCACCTTGGCCTTAACCCCGGCCATAAGATTCTGCACAACCTGTGAATCAACCGTTTTTTGCATGTAAACCCATACTTTCTTCAGTTCCTCGACTGTCTTCACTACCTTAGGTCGTTTAAGAAGGTGCTGCTTCATAATCGCCCAGTACTTGTCGATGGGGCGGAGCTCCGGAGTGTTGGGAGGGTTGAACATTTTCGGCACGAAATTGACCTTATTGTCCGCATACCACTTCAGCACGTCCTTGGAGTAGTGGCATGAGGCCAAATCCGGCCAGAAGATTGTTGGGACGTTGTGGGCCTTCAGGAGAGGAAGCAGCCGCTTCTGGAGGCACTCTTTTATGTACACTAGGGTGTTTCATTTTGAAAAAAGTGATGAATTTTTGATAGGCCACCCTCCAGTTCGATTCATAGCCCCAAAATATGAACCTGTGCAAAAAATGGTAAAGATTGATGAAGGTTTAGAGGTCGCGCCAATGATTTGGATTTTGTATGGAGATTTTGGTGAATTAGTATGGGAAATTATTGATTTTCGTTTACATTGCTCTAACTTTGGTTGTAGTTGTCCAAACGTTGAAAAAAAAAAATATGTGGTTGTCATGACAATGATCAACAAGCCTGTTGTTGTTGCGATGAAATTGGCGTTGTTGCCTTGTACATATTCATCTGTCAATTTACCCTATTTTGCCATTTTTTCACATTTTTATAATTCTTGATACGCTGCAAAACTGAGCGTAGCAACTGTAGGCTTTTTGTTTATTGCCATAGCAATAACATACTAAATTTTTTCGACATTTGGACAAGTAGAAGCAAAGTTATAGCGATATAAGCGATTTTTTAAATTCTTCCATAGTAATTCCCATACAAATTTCAAATCATTGGCGCGACCTCTAAACCTTCATCAATCTTTACCAATTTTTGCACAGGTTCATATTTTGGGGCTATGAATCGAACTGGAGGGTGGCCCATCAGAAATTCATCACTTTTTTCAGAATGAAGCACCCTAATGTACACCTGTCCGTTCATCGTGTCCTGGGTCACGAAAGGTGCACTCCGCTTCCCGCACGTGCAGATGGCTTGCCAAACCAGGAATTTCTTCGCAAATTTGGACATCTTCTGAGTGCGGACATGCTCCGGAACGCTGAACTTATCCTTGGCCGTGAAAAACAGGTTGCCGGGGATCTGTTTGAAGTCGGCCTTCACATATGTTTCGTCGTCCATGATGCAGCATTCAACTTTCGTCAGCATGTTGAGGTACAATTTCCTGGCACGGGTTTTGGCGGACTTGTTCTGCTTCTCGTCGCGATTAGGGGCCTTTTGTACCTTGAACGTTCGAAGCCCAGCCTTAGTTTTGGCCTTCTGGACAAAACTTCGGCTTAGGTGCAGCTTCTTAGCCACATCCCTAACGGAGGCGTTCGGATTTCGGTTGAAGGCCCCAACTATACAAATACTTTTTCCTTCACTTCTGGGCTTCCGATCGGTGGTCAACCGTTCCTCGAACCGCTTAATCACTCGCGACACCATGGAACTCGCGATTCCCAACGTTTTAGCGATGGAACGATGCGAGAGATCCTTGTTCTCGTGATGAATGCGCAAGCTTTTATCACGCACGAGCTGTTCTTTCGACTCTATTTCCGCGAGTTTTGATCACAGGACTTTAAAACTTGCAGGATGTAAATAATGCACTATGAACTAAATCCACCCAAATTTTCATTAAATTCTACCCAATGGTTAAAAAGTTAGAGCAATTTCATAGTGTGGCAATTTCATCGTGGACACCCTTTAGGAGTGTTGTTTAGGTGTTGGGGAGCCCCCCGGTGAGCCTCTTCATACAACCGAAATTTTTTCTGTGGGTTAATGACAACAACAAAAACAAGTGAGCCAGTTCGAAATCAATCGTATAATGTGGTAGATAACCAGAACAAAGAAAGAAAAATACAGAACTTTTGTAACAATAAAAAACACGTTTTCGGTTGAAGTTATCGGTCGGGAGTTTTGGTTCCTTTAGTGCTCGAAATTCCAGTCCAAGTGAAGGACCCTCCATACTGTATACAGTCCATTTTGAAACATTTGGTCCTTCGAGCCGGATCATGGCGAACCTGGAGAAGCTGTTTTCTCGCCGCAATGCGCTAGTGGCCCAAGTGAAAGCAGAGTTTTCGGTCGCGAAAAACCTCAGCGATGCCAACTCGCAAAGTGAGGTTAGAGAACGGCTGGATCAACTCAAAGTGCTTGCTGAGACAGCAATTGCATCCGTATTTGATGTGCGTGAGGATTTTTTCGGTGTCTACTACCGAACGAAGAATATGTTCGAGACTTTCCTGGATGGTATCGAGTCGACCGTCAGCCAGCGAACGAATGCAGAATTCAAGGATTGGAAGGATGCGATGCAGCTATTGATGGAAACACAGTGACAATTATTGCTACAACAACAAGTAACGGCGAAAGCGGTGTTGGCTCAGGTGTCGAATAGTGCCAAACCTTTCCCGGAAGGTGATCAGGTGTCGAATGCTGCACCCCAGTTGAGTGTTCGTCTCCCAGCGATCAATATTTCAACGCTCAGTGGTGATCGTGAGGGATGGTTTACGTTCAAGGACCGTTATCAGTCTACCATTCACAACAGAAAGGACATTTCGGAATCGCTAAAGATGCAATACCTTTTTTCGTATTTGGACGGAGATGCCAAACGACTGGTGAACAAATTCACAATTTCCAGTGCGAACTACGAAAAGGCTTGGGATGCTTTATGTGCCCACTACGACAAGAAGCGGCATACGGTATTTTCTTTGGTTCGCGAGTTCATGGATCAACCGGAAATCACAAATGTCAGCCCTCAGGCACTGATCAAGATCAAGACCTCCGATGAGGTAGTACAGCAACTAGACGCTCTTGGAAAAGACTTTCGAAGTCGGGATCCTTGGTTGATCCATCTGATGCTGAAGAAATTGGACAAAGAGACGCAAACAAGCTGGTCGCAGAAGGTCATCGAGAACGATAATCCGACATTCGAGGATTTGTTGTCGTTCCTAAAGAAACGGTGTGAAGCGTTGGAGACGTGTTCGGCCTTTTCAAGGAAGGAAGTTTTCAAAAAAGATGCAGCCAAATCAGTGAATTTCGAAAAGAAAATGAAATCGCTACATGCAGTAGCATCGAAACCAAAAGTGCGCGAAATGGTCAAAAGAGCATAATACGTTTTTCTGTGAAGATTTTAAGCAAATGAGTGTAGAAGATCGCCGAAGCTTGGCTCAGACTGTGTTTTAACTGCTTGAGGCCGTTCCATACTGCCAAGTCGTGTTCTTCTAAGTCAGTATGCCATACTCCGGAATGCAAACAACGGCATCATACGCTGCTGTGTCCCGTTGCGAATGAAAATGATGTTCCGGAAAAGATCGTGACGGAGAGTGAAGATAAAAATGTTGCGGTTCTGATGGCGGAATTGCCCGTAGAGGAGCACCGCACCATTCCGCTGCTGCCAACGGCAGTTGTGAATGTACAGAAGGCGGACGGAAGCTTCTTGCGTGCGCGAGTGTTGATCGATTCCGGATCGCAAGCTACATTAGTGTCAGAGGATTGCGTTAGGAAATTGGAACTGCCGAGGCGTAGCGGTAAGCTGGTAGTCAGTGGGCTTGGTTAGCAGGAGGTAGGGTTCACTCGTGGTGTAGTTTCACTACGACTAGCGTCCAGATTCAGCGAATGTATCATCATTACAACCAATGCTTACGTTCTCGGTAAGTTGACGTCTACTATTCCTTCGCAACGTTTC